ATACACACACACACACACACACACACACACACACACACATACACACACCATGTGACAATTACACAGTAAAAGGTTATAAGCCAGGTTTTGGACTTTTTAAAAAATTGGTGCAGCAATTACAAGGTGGTAACAATTACATGGTGAAATGTAGTATGTGATTATTTCAAAGCATAGATCTTTAGCTTTTTCTTAATGAGTTCCTTGATCCCTTCTCAATCCCTCCCTTTTCTTTGTGGTACTGGGGACTGAACTCAGGGATACTCCACCACTGGGCTATATCTTTTTTTTTTTTTTTTTTTTTTTACATTTTATTTAATTGCGAGAGATGTTGAACATTTTTTCAAATATTTGTTGAGCCATTGTATATCTTTTGAGAAGTGTCTCTTCAGTTCTTTAACCCATTTATTGATTGGGTTATTTGATTTTTTAGTGTTAAGTTTTTTTGAGTTCTTCATATGTCCTGGAGATTAGCGCTCTATTCAATGTGTGTTTAATAAAAATTTGCTCCCATCCTGTAGGCTCTCTCTTCACCTCATTGATGGGCTATATCTTCAGCCTTTTTTATTTTTGAGACAGGGTCTTGCTGAGTTGTCAAGGATGGCCTCAAACCTGATCCTGCTGCCTCAGCCTCCTGAGTCACTGAGATTACAGGCATGCACCACTGTGCTCAGCTTTTCCCCAAAATTTTTATGATTGGCTATCAGAGAAAGGTTAGAATTGTGTGTATTTCAAGTTACAAAGAATTGAAATTCTTAAGTTCTAAGTAAGGGTAGCAAAATTTCCTACCTGCCATGGAATTGAGAGTAGTAGCAGTACATTAGGGTGCCCATTATGATATTAAAAGAAGTGACTAAGAGAACAGAATCAGCTTATTAGGTTTTTGGCTGGTTTGATTTTGCTCTTTTTTGAGGGACAGGCAATCACAGCAAATAATGTATCTTATTGCTTATTGGAACTACATTAAGTTCATCAACTTTTGAAAAACTCCTGCTCTTTTAAACTCCAAAAGATGACTAACAGATCAAAGTACATGAAGTTTAAACTTTTCCCAAAGCTTTCTTGTTCTTTGTGAATTAAAGTTCGTGTGGGACATCATGTGAGTACATTGCAGACTTTGGTTGTCAGTGTGAGTAGGCCTCTCCTCTACATAATTCTCTTGAAGAAGTTTCTCCATTTTCTGTAAAACAGATAAAAGGTCTTCGAACCTCTCATCAGTCTTGGTTTCAATGTTTGTTTCAGTTGATAGTAATTCACTTGGTCTTCCTGAGAACCAAGTATAAATCAGTGGTTTTTTTTGTTTTGTTTTGTTTTTTAATATTTATTTTTTTTTAGTTGTAGTTGGACACAATACCTTTATTTTAATGTGGTGCTGAGGATTGAACCCAGGGCCTTGCACATCCTAGGCAAGAGCTCTACCACTGAGCCACAACCCCAGCCCCATAAATCAGTGTTTAACTGTTCCTACTATAACACTGGCAGGCTTAGCCCAGACAAGTCATTTGGTCTGCAGCCTTCAGGTTTCCTTTATCAGCCCTTTTCTGAAAGCCTATTTTGGGAAGGAAGGAACTACATGGCGCTCTCTGCCTGCCATCTTCAAGCATGACCATTTGACTTCATGGCACAGAATTGAGAATGATTTACTGACATTATGGACTAGTTCTAGCCCAAAGTCATCTAAAGCTTTGGGCACTTTCACTGCTTCTTTAGGCTAATTCACAGTGTTCTTTTGTCCCCAAAGATATGAAAGGTGCATGATGATAAATACAAAGTGGCATGTGGGAGGCTGTCTTGAAGGTAGAATGTCCATGTGCCACTTCAGAGCCTGTGGGTAATATTTTCCCCATTTCCTCAGCAATCCCCAAGGATAACTGAGCTTTTCTGCTTTCCACTACTTCACTGTAATGCAACCCTGAGCCAAATTTCTGTCATTGGCTCCAGAAGAGCAAATATCCTCTTAGCTGCATAAAGATAGCTTTGATAATACTCCTGTTAGGTCAAACCAAACCGATTATTTTATTCAATATTTACACTAATATTTTAATACATTATCCTGGAAATAATTTTGTCTGTTTATGACAGCATCCTAAGAATATACCTAGTGAGTGACAGTGTGCATGCATGACACAAGATTTGTTCAGAAAACAAGTGGAATGGTATCTCAGAGACACCTAAAATTTTTATTTAAAATAAAGCACTGTTGTTGTTGTTGTTGTTGTTGTTGTTGTTGTTGTTGTTTTTCTTGTTAATTTAAGGAAATTTTTAGGCTTTTCACTTTTTTTTTTCCCTTGCTCTGTAGCATATAAAATGCATGAAGGGGCCACAGCAAAGCCACTGGAATGCCCTCAGGAACCCAGTGACAAAGGGTTTCCTGTTCCCATGTGAGGCCTGGGTCTTCAAGCTGCAGAATGCAGCTGGCCTCATGCTGGCCAAGGCTCCAGGTGGGAATTCCACCTCAGTGCCTCAGAATCTGAAGCAGTCACCATTCTCTCCAGTGCACTCTGCTGTCTGCTGCTTCCAGTTAATCTAGGCACAGCCACATTAAGAACTTGGTTGGAAGTGTCACTTAAAAATCCTCTAGTGGGCTGGGGATGTGGCTCAAGTGGTAGCGCGCTCACCTGGCATGTGTGAGGCACTGGGTTCGATTCTCAGCACCACATAAAAAAATGAAATAAAGATATTGTGTCCATCTAAAACTAAAAAAATAATTTAAAAAAACCCTCTAGTGTGCAGCAGGTCAGTTTTTTTTCCTATTTCCTCACTCATGAAGTGATCAGCATAGAAACCACCGGGATAATGGTATGATTCATAGTTTGCAAATGTTTCATTGATTTCAGGAGACCATAGAATTTTAGCTCTGAAAAAAAATTATTCAAGAGTAAGAACTGAGGCTGGGGCGTAGCTCAGTTGTAGAGCACTTGCCTAGATGCAGGAAGCCCTGGATTCCATCCCCAACACCACTGGAAGGACAGAGAGAGACTGTGAGATGTGTTGTTACAAACTTGCTGCTGCTGCTCTCCTCGCACCCCACCACCCCTCGCTCAGTGTTGAAAGCTGAACCCAGAAGTGCTTTCCACTGAACTTCATCTTCTGCCCTTTCTATTTTATTTTGAAACAGGGTCTCACTCACTTGCTGAAACTGGCCTTAAATTTAGATCCTCCTGCCGTAGCCTCCCGAGATGCTGGGATTAGAGGAATATGCTACTGCACTTGTTTTTTGTTGTTGTTGTTGTTTTGATGATGATGTTTTTAGTAGCTGTTTCTTGATTATAGGCTGTCTTCCACACACCTCTTATTCTACTGCTCTTTTCACTTGATAAGCTTCCTAATACTGTATTTGGGTTTCTCTTAAAAAAAAAAAAAAAGAAAGAAAGAAAAAGAAAAGAAGGGGCTGGGGACGTGGCTCAAGCGGTAGAGCGCTCACCTGGCATGCGTGCAGCCCGGGTTCAATCCTCAGCACCACATACAAACAAAGATGTTGTGTCTGCCGAAAACTAAAAAAAATAAATAAATATTAAAAAAAATATTTCTCTCTCTCTCTCTCTCTCTCTCTCTCTTTACAAAAAAATACAAAAAAAAAGAGAGAGAAAATGTCTGTTTACTGGAACTCTGTATGAATGAATTAATTACCTTTCTCTTTTTTAAGGCGCTATAGTGGCCCCTGGTAAGACCCGAGGAGGGTCACCGTATAACCAGTTTGATATCATCCCGGGTGACACACTGGGTGGCCATACGGGTCCTGCTGGTGATAGCTGGTTACCTGCCAAATCTCCACCAACAAGTAAAATCGGAAGTAAATCCAGCAATGCAAGTTGGCCTCCAGGTATTGTCCACGACATGCTTTCTCTTTAATGGTTAATTTCAAGTTCTGAACACACTGCTTTTGCAACTCATTTTACTGAGGCACTTGTTTTCAATTTTTCTATGATAAAAGCAGAGCATGTGCTCTAAGATGTGTGCTGTGGGAAGATAACAAATCTTTATTAGATGAAGAACGTGGGGATGAAGGAAGGTGACCTTGTAGCTGGGATGTGGCATTCATCCCAAGTCTAGGATGCCTTGAAAGATGGGTTCTTTTGAAGTGTCTGTTGAATTTATTGGTTCAGTCATTGGGCTGCCAGTTTGATTCCAGGTATATAGTACACTGAGATTATTTGTTGATTTTTTTTTTTTTTACTTTCTCCCTTCTGCCTCCCATCCCCAGTAACATATTTTCATTGTAGAAAATTTAGTAAAGCAAAAATAAAAATCAGATAGTTTGTCCTAGACTTCTTCCTGTGCACATATATATCTGGGACATGAATGAATATAGTTTCATTTTATTAGAGTTGGATGAAATATATAATGTTCATATGTGATACATATTGCTGCTCAACATAAGGAAAATAGTTCGTTATTTCCATCACATAGCTTTAAATGTGATTTCAGTTGACTAATAAAGTCTGGTTTTTAGTTTTTGTGATGCTGGGGATGGAAACCAGGGCCTCACATATGTTAGGCATGAAAGCACTTTACCACTGAGCTACATCCCCAGCCCCAAAGCATAAATTCTCCTATGCAGCCTTGTCTTTCTCATGATAAGCTGAACCATTTCTTTCTTTCTTTTTTTTTAAGCTGAACCATTTCTGCTGGCTGTCACTGGGTAGGCCATGCTGCAGTGGTCATTTGTATTGCATTTTCTTTTGTGTATTTTGGGCAATATCTAGAGATGAAAATGGAAACGATAACTGGTCTCTAGCCCAGTTTCTCCCAGTTCTTGGCCTTGAGCCAAGAACTCTGCCATCAGGCCTGAGTTCCCTGAGGAGCAGGAAGACCTGGGACCACGCCAGGCCTTGACGGGCTGTGGCCTCATATTCATTACTGCCAACAGACAGACATATGATAATTCAGAGGTGCTATTGCCAAGAATATATGTTCAGGGGGGTTTTTTTTTTCTTTCCTAATTTCATGACAAAAATCTGAGAATAGTAAATTCAGTATATAGACTTTTCACAGACCCATTTCTTCCACTAAAACATGATTTTACCATTTTTGAACAACCCCCTACCCCTAATATTTGTTGTTCTTATCTCAGAATTTCAACCAGGAGTGCCATGGAAAGGTATACAAAACATTGACCCTGAATCTGACCCTTATGTCACCCCAGGAAGTGTGCTGGGGGGTACAGCCACATCTCCCATTGTAGATACTGACCATCAACTGCTGCGGGATAACACCACAGGTAAATGATTGCTTTATTTGTTCATGCAGGTACCTAATAATTTAACCAGAAAATATAAAAATATTGCTTTGCATGTTTATTTTAAATTTTTTTCTCAGTGCTACAGACTGAACCCAGGGCCTCATGCATGCACTTTACCACTAAACTTCATCCCCAGTCCTTTTTAATTTTTACTTTGAGACAGAATCTTCTACGTTGCCTCAAGCTTCCAATCATCTTGCCTCGAGCTTACAATCCCGCTTCCTCAGCCTCCTGAGTAGCTGAGGTGTGCTCCACCTTGCCCAGCCAAATTTTTTGTTGTATGCATTTTGTTTTCTGTCCTATTGAAATTTAAATAAAATACTTTCAAAGTTTCTCTGCTTATACTGCCATTTATCTTCATTATATTCTTTTGTTCTTCGTTTGTCACATCAAGGGTCTAATTCTTCCCTCAACACCTCGCTGCCTTCACCTGGTGCCTGGCCCTACAGTGCCTCTGACAACTCCTTTACCAACGTTCATAGCACTTCAGGTACGAGGGTGTTCTGTTTCCCTTTGGTTAGCGTTTTGCCATTAGTTTCCCCCGTATAATACTTTTAAATGGAAGTTGAAGGGCACAGGTCAGTGTGGATGGATGCTATTTGTTTCCCCTCTTCTTGAGGATCTTCTGGTCATACAGAGGCAGGTGAGACATATAACTTTGGCTCAAGGTGAGTGATGGTAGAATCTCTGGGAACTAGGTGTTCAGAGGATAGAGGTTAAGACCTGATAGCACAAATGCTCCACTTAACCAGCTGCCAATACATCAAGGGCCATGGGAAGAACTAGTTAGGTCCAGGTTATTATTTCTACAGCAGCTACTGATGGTCTGCTTTTTCCTAAAATGTCTTGTACTTAAAGAAAAAGGATAATGGTAGATGGCCAGAGTCAAAAAGAGAATCTCAACTAATTTCACCAACAATATTTGAATTCCTTGTTTTTTGTTTTTTTGTTTTTAATGGAAAAGTTAGTGAATATATTAGAGGCTTTGAAATCATTCAGCTAGTACAATGCCTTATAGATTAGTAGAAAACTCATTAGTTATTGGCACCATGGTTTTGCGAGGTTGGGCCTTTTAAGCCATGGAAGTCATTAGCATTTCTGTGCTTCATCAAGGCAAAAGCCAAAAAAGCAAATCTTTAGCTCTCTTCTGTCACTACAGGCTTATGGTGTGCAAATTGTCTTCTTTTTCTTTCCATATCTGTCATATCAACAGTGCAACAATAACCTGCCATTTACTTAATTTTCTAGCATGAATTCCTTTTTGACCCTTATCTAACACTATGAGTAGGTCCTATGATGATCCATCCCCCATTTTGTAGATAGAAAAACTGAGATTCAAAGAGCTGTCGCATCCAAGCCTGAATTATAAATACTGAATACTGACCTGCCTCAGCATTGCACATCCTTAGCTACACCCTGCACTGTACTTTTCCAGGACTTATACTTGGATCCAACTCTTTTTCAAACTTTTTTTTAAGAGAGAGCGAGAGAATTTTAATATATATATTTAGTTTTCAGTGGATACAACATCTTTGTATGTGGTGCTGAGGATCGAACCTGGGCCGCACGCACGCCAGGCGAGCGCGCTACCGCTTGAGCCACATCCCCAGCCACTCTTTTTCAAATTTTTATTTTATTTTCTCTCTTTTTTGTTTGTGGTACTTGGGATCTAAGCACGGGCCACTTGACCACTGAGCTACATCTCTAGCCCTTTTTAAATTTTTTATTAATTTTTTTTATTTTTAGTATCTCCAAGTGGCCAAGGCTGTTCTTGAACCTACTCTCCTCTTACCTCAACCTCCCAAGACCCTGGGATTACAGGCATACACCCAGATTTTTTTTTTCTTTTCTTTTTTTCCTTCCTTCCTATCTTTCTTTCATGGTACCACGGGTTAAATTCAGGGGTGATCTACAACTAAGTTATATCCCCAACCCTTTTAGGTTGTTTGTTTGAGACAGGGTCTCATCAAGTTTCTCAGGCTGGCCTCAAACTTGAGCACCTCCTGCTTTATTCAACCTCTCAAGTCACTGAAGTTATAGACACGTATATAGACACCCAGCTTTTTTTTTTCTTCTTCTTTTTTAAAAGATGATGTCTCACTTTGTTGTCCCAAACTCCTGGATTCTAACAGTCTTCCTCTTCTAGCTCTTAGGTATTGGGAACTGCAGGTATACACAGCTATGCCCTGCTTTCATCTAGCTTTTACCCCTATGAATGCTCATATCTTAGGTTGAACAGTGTATCTTTTTCCTGCAATTGAATATTCACCTGAGAGATGGCTCAAGAATCACCTCAGACTTGTCTAAAACTGAATCTGAACTTCCCCATCCCCCAAAATTGTTTTTCCTTATTTTTTTTTAAATTTTAATATTTATTTTTCAGTTTTTGGCGGACACAACATCTTTGTATGTGGTGCTGAGGCTCGAACCCAGGCTGCACGCATGCCAGGCGAGCGTGCTACCGCTTGAGCCACATCCCCAGCCCCTCCTTATTTTCCTTAATGATGCTCCCATGCATCACCTACCTTGTCACAAGAGCTCAGTATTTTCTCATTCGTTCCTCTCCCTTGCTCCCTGGACCCAGGCCATGCTGATTCTTAGCAGTGTGATGTGCAGTAGGATTTTTCAAGTTCATTGCTTCTGCTCAGTTCTCTTGCTGTCACCCTCACTCAAACACCCAATGCTGAGTAGACTGCAGAAACTCCTGACCACCTTATCCTTTGCACTCTATGAAATACTTTTCACCCAGGATTGGCAGAGGACATATTCTGTATAGGGAGAGTTTGTGGTGAAACTAGGTTTCCATTTTCCAGTTTTCCTGGGCCTATCCATTTATATAAATCTTCAGACCTGTCTTTGCAAAGCCTCTGCTTGCAACCTAGCACTTTCCTCTGTGTGCTGAACATATATGTTACCAGAGTTACCAGTTCTGTTGTTCTGCTGCTCTTGCTTCCATTCAAACTGAAGCCTTTGAGAATAACTGTGTTACCCATCTAATATGCTGGATCTTGGCATAAGAAAAGTGTAGGTTTCTAATGTACTTTCCGTGCAGTCCATGAGTACTTAATTTTGCTGGTATTCACATTCTAACTATCTGTAAGGCTGATGGGCTATACGGAAATTTTCTCCTTGAATTTGTCTTCTCTTTCAAGCATGTTTAGCTAAGAAAGTTGTAGAAAAATAGTTCATATAATTTTCTCAATTTACAGTAATAGTTACTGAAAATTTTATAGTTGATATGCTTAAAGAACAATGTTACTTTGTATTGCTACTCATAAAATATGTGCTTACTATTATTTTTCAGAAGATAGCTGTGCATATATTTGTGTGTTGAGACAGTTTGTGTGTGCTTATGGTCCATCTTTTTTTGTGTGGTGCTGGGGATTGAATCCAGGACCTCACGCATTCGAGGCAGGCATTCTACCAGCTGAGCTATATCCCCAGCCCTTGTGGTCCATCTTATTGCTTCCTGAATTTTTTCTTCTCACAGCAAAGTTCCCTGATTATAAATCCACGTGGTCCCCAGATCCCATAGGACACAACCCCACTCATCTCTCCAACAAGATGTGGAAAAACCACATTTCCTCCAGGAACACTACACCGCTGCCCCGCCCACCTCCCGGCCTGACCAACCCCAAACCGGCATCTCCCTGGAGCAGCACAGCACCCCGATCAGTCAGGGGGTGGGGAACACAGGACTCTCGGCTTGCCTCAGGTGAGAAGGACCTTCTTGTAAGAGCAGCTGTGTCATCATAAGGGAGGATGTGAAAGGGCTGCAGGCATGTGTGCTTGGGGTGGAGGACTGTGGAAGAGAGTATGGAGGTTGGGCCCTTGGGCTGGGTGAAGTTGCTCATTATTTTCCTCCTCCTTTTTCTGGTTGCCTACAGCCTCTACCTGGAGCGATGGTGGCTCAGTTCGCCCTAGTTACTGGCTGGTTCTTCATAATCTCACTCCACAGGTAATTGTGCTTTCTTGAGGTGTTCTAGACAAGATTCAGTGTTATTAAGAGAAACTCGCATGTGGGGGAGGTTAGGCGGTAGAAAACTCAACTATTTCTTGGTCTCCTCTCCCCATTCAAGGCTCATAGCCTACTTTTGAACGAGGGTTCTGGCCATGTGGTCTCACACCTGACTTCAAGGTGTTGGAAATATGTGAGGTGGTATTGTTTGATCTTTTTATTAGTTTCCAGTGCTGGAGATAGAACCAGGGCCTGTCTCACGCCAGTGAGCTTCCAGTGAGCCTGCCAGTGAGATTCGTCCTCAGCCCCAGTATGCAAGATCTTACATGATGATTCTCAAAGCTTTGTTTGCCTCATTTTTAGAGTTGTCGTATAATTTGGTGGTTATGATGTTGGTAGGATGAAGGAAGCAGTAAGGGTTTTCCTATTTTGAAAGGAGCCTGGGCAAGTTAACCAGCTGTTCACTTTTTCTGTCTTAGGGAAAATAATAAGTATGCATATATGGGGCTGGGGATGTGGCTCAAGCAGCAGCATGCTCACCTGGCATGCGTGCGGCCTGGGTTCGATCCTCAGCACCACATACAAACAAAGATGTTGTGTCCGCCAAAAATTAAAAAATAAATATTAAAAAAAAAATCTCTCTCTCTCTCTCTTAAAAAAATTATGCATATGTAAATATGTATATTAAATGAATATAGGGTGGCTGTGTTTGTATTAGAAAGACTTAAGATTAAGTTAAAAAATCAAAGCTACCTAGTACAAATTAATGTCAGTCATAAGAGTAAATCTTGACACTGGATACGTTTACTTTTCAGCACTTAAAATTGTTTAAAGGGTATTTGTCCTGTAAAGTGTCTTGTGGATATACTGACATGCTTATGTAGTCAGTTTTCACTCATAAAACAAGCTCAGGGGGATTTCTTTGGTCTTTTTCTTTAAAGATCTCCAAGAAACCACCCATTTTCATCCAGCAGCCAGTAACACAATTTTTTAAAGCAATTTCAAATAGTAACATACTTAGTTTCCAAAGAAATTAGCTGGGCACTGTGGCATATGCCTGTAACCCCAGCAGTTCAGGAGGCTGAGACAGGAGGATCGTAAGTTCAAAGCCGGCCTCAGCATCGGTGAGGCACTAAGCAACTCAGTGAGACCCTCTCTTTAAATAAAATACAAAAGGCGGGGGGCTGAGGATGTGGCTCAGTGGTTGAGTGCCCCTGAGTTCAATCCCCCAAAAAATGTATACTTATTTTTTTTAATATTTTTTTTTTAGTTATAGATGGGCACAATATCTTTGTTTTATTATTTTCTTTTTATGTGGTGCTGACGATCGAACCCACTGCCTCACACATGCCAGGCAAGCACTCTACCACTGAGTCCCAGTCCCAGCCCAGTATTCTTATTTTTCAAAGAAATGAACTGAAATGATGGAATGATCAACTAAAATAAATCTATTTAGGCTCTTGATGCAAAATTAGTCCATCACATAAGAGTGAAGAGGTTTGTTAATCTAACTAACTCGTGGGTTAGGGGAATTATCCCTAATCCCTGAATACTGAGTGGATTGAGGGACTACAGCCTTCAGTCCCATCGCTTTTGGGCAGCAGAGGACACAGTAGAGAAAAGGTGGTGGAAATGGTCTCACCTTGAGATGGTAAAGCAGCCATAAGACAGTACTGGGACGGTCTGGGAAGTAGGCCAGGCATCGAGATTCTAAGTCTTTAGGTGTCTAACAGTGCTTTCTCGTTTGTCTTTCTCTTTACTTCTTTGTGAGGTTGTTTACTGGATAAACAGAAGAATCAAATATTAGTAATAATACTAAGAACCTTGCATGTTAACGTTCTTATTTGGGGACTATTTCACTTCTATTTATATTGTGGTGCTAGGAATGGAACTCAGGGCCTCACGCACATTAGGTGAGTACTCTAACACTGAGCCTTCGTTTCTGCCTTTTTAGGATCTAAAAATTAACACACATGTGTTTACCTCTTAAATGAAATAGACCACAGGGTCTGGGGATGTGGCTCAGAGGCAGAGTGCTTGCCTAGCATGTGTGAAAGAAAGAAAGAAAAAGAAAACAGATCACAGGTCGAGTCATATTCTTTTGTTTTGAGCTATATTTATGTATGCATTTTATTCATTTTAGTTGCAAAATGGGAAGAGTAGATCTTAGTCCAATGTGTAAATATCTTTTTTTTTTTCATGGAGGCTAACTTTATTGAGACCAATTTAGTATGCATCAGAATTCACACTTTATATTGTGTAATTCTGATAGGTACACAAATTCATTTAATCACCATTATAACCAATCTGTACCATAGTTCTGTCATCCTAAACAATGTTCAGTGTGTAAATATCTTAAAGTTGCCTTTCCCATCATAAGTGTTGTTTCTCCTTAGATTGATGGGTCAACCTTGAGAACGATCTGCATGCAGCATGGTCCACTGCTGACATTCCATCTGAATCTAACCCAGGGCACTGCCCTGATTCGATACAGCACCAAACAGGAGGCGGCCAAGGCCCAAACCGCACTGCACATGTGAGTATTCCATCCTGCATCCTCTAGGCAAGTATGCAGGAGATGCACCCATGAGTATCCTGGAACCTGCTCATTCAAACAGTGATGCATGAGACAAGGACAGGCATATAAAAACACCATTGTTGGGCACAGTGGCACACAGTAATCCCAGAGGCTCAAGAGACTGAAGCAGGAGGATTGCAAGTTAAAAGTCAGCCTCAGAAATTGAATGAAGCCCTAAGCAACTCAGTGAGTCTCTGTCTCCAAATTAAAAAAATAAAAAGGGCTGAGGATGTGGTTCAGTGGTTAAGCACCCCTGGGTTCAATCCCTGGTACCAAAAAAATAAAAAATAAAACAACACCATCATGCATGCATTTCCAAGTCTTGGGTATTGAAGTGACAGTTCTTTTCTACCTACCTGAGATTATCCTGTGTATTTATAGGCTGACCATCAGAACTCCAAATATAAATAATTTGTGAAATAGTTGAATAAATTTAAGTACCACAGAACAAAGCAGATATTTATAAAATGTGAAACGTTTTGTCATTTTTCATAAAAGAATCTAGCTGCTTTCTGTAGCCTCTAGTAAATGATGTTGAAATTTTGTGGTTTAGGTGGGTGGCAGGGTTTTGCTTGAAGTAGATGGGACTGGATCAGACTCCTCCCTCCCCCAGCCCTTGGTGGACAAAAAAGGGCTGACTCCCTTTGGCTGCAGATGCCATGACAAAATTCTATGCACAGAGGGAGTGGGCAGTGGGAAAGCCCAGGCAGCAAGCAGGTCTAGCCCTGGGACAGGGCAGCACTTTTGAGTGTCTGGTGCTGAGGTTGTGATCCTTACCCCACATGGGTCAAAAAGAAATGACATTTTTCATCTCTTTTCTTCTTTTAAGATTTGAATTTTTTTTTCAGAGTACTTATAAGTTTGCAGCAAAATTGAGAGGGAGATTCAGAGATTTCCCATATGTTTCTACCCCTCCCTCACATATCTAGCCTCCTTTATTGTCAGCATCACTCACCAGAGTGGTCCATCTGTCACAATTGATGAACATACACTGACATTAAATCCCCCAAAGTTCATGGTTCATATTAGGATTTATTTCTGGTGGTGTCCCTTGAATGGATTTGGACAAATGTATAATGGCATGTAGCCACCATCATCTTATCATCGACTGTAATTGCACTGCATTAAAACTCCTCTGTGCTCCATGTGTTCACCCTCCCCTAACACACACAGACGCGTTTGTGATAGTCAAGTTGTCAGGAATATATAAACTCCATCCGGTGTGGATACATGGTTATCAGGAGCCTTTGACTCTCTGGAGCTTTGGGTCACACCTCACTGCATTGTATCAATTGAAGTGCAGGTTCTGATCTGTAGGCCCAGGGTGGTACCTGTGATTCTACATACTCAAAAGCATCCAGGTGAATTGACAGCAGGGGACTGGAAGCATTCAGTCCCAAGGGTGCTGGAGCGTTTCCCTTAGACCCACAGCTCTCTTTTCCTTCCTTCTCCAGGTGTGTGTTGGGAAACACTACCATCCTGGCTGAGTTTGCCACAGATGATGAAGTTAGCCGCTTTCTGGCACAAGCTCAGCCCCCTACACCTGCAGCAACCCCAAGTGCACCAGCCACGGGGTGGCAGTCGCTGGAGACCGGCCAGAACCAGTCAGACCCTGTAGGACCTGCGCTGAACCTTTTCGGTGGGTCCACTGGGCTCGGGCAATGGAGCAGCAGTGCTGGTGGCAGCAGCGGGGCTGATCTTGCTGGCGCTTCGTTGTGGGGGCCCCCAAACTATTCTTCTAGCTTATGGGGAGTCCCAACTGTGGAAGATCCCCATAGGATGGGCAGTCCTGCTCCTTTACTACCTGGTGACCTTCTGGGAGGAGGGTCGGATTCAATCTGAACTTAGAACTTTCAACTCTGACCTCGTGACCTTTTTTGGAACAGCAGCAGCACTAACTTGACCTTTTCGTTTTTTTTTTCAACTTGCAATAAATACATTTTTAAAAGGAAAAAAGAAAACGGAGAGAGGAAAAAAAAAAAGGTGGGTCATTGACAGACTGTCTGAGCACATAGTTGCCTCCCTTATAACTTCAGTTTTTTCGTTTGGAATATGAATCCAAAAAAGAGAACATATCACTCTTGAAATACTTGAATCATGAACGCCAACCTAGAAAGACAATGTGAAGCAAGTACACATACCATTTAAATTTAAACACAAAAAAAATTAAAAAAATTAGTTTCTAGTTTTTCACTTTTTTCATGTTATATGGAAGTTGTTGCTAAGAAACATATATACTGAAAAAAAAAATAGCTTTTTAACTTTGTTTGCACTGGGTGTGTTTCCGTCCTTAGGTCTACCATGTTTGGGAGGGAGGGAAATTCAAAAGAATTGTTGGGGGAGGGGGGAGGGAAGACTTGACGGAGCCTCACTTTAAAAACAAAAACACAAAAAAACCTAAAAAAAAAAAAAAAAAGGAAAAAATTTGTGATTGGCTGGTTGATAAATACCAGTGTGTTCTGGCACATGTAACTGCCCAGGCATGCTTGTTCTGGTATGTGTGTGCACGTGTGTTCATGTGCATTCACGTGCATCTTCCTGTCTCTGTGTGTGTGTGTGTGCCTGCGTCCCACCCTCCTCCTCCCACCCCACCCTCATTTCTCAAAAAGCTGCATTGCTGACAGTCTGCAGGCTGGCTGGCCGGCCACCCGCTTTTTATTTTATTTTTTAAACTATGAGAACACACAAGCACAGGGAGCTACTGCAACTGAAGCCACTCCGTCAGGCTGCATTGAGACGAAGAGTGCTTTTTCACGATGAGAGCAGGGAGCTCCTTTCCACTTGTGCATTAGCCTGAGAGTGAGATTCTCTAGCTTTCCTCTTGACCTAGCAGTAGAGCGGAGCACTGCCAAGTCCAAAAATCAGAGAGCAGGAGGTACCTCTTGGAGCAGCTGTGTGTTCAGTCTGTTTTTTAAAAGTGAATGGCCACTAGGCACACCTGAGCATCTGTTAAATTTCATGCAGGTCCTTTTTGTTAGTTTGAATGGGAACAGACTATCAGATAGTTTTCAGATTATGTGATGTCTCAAAAGCAGAAAATTTGTGTTCCCTCTTTCCTATGTGAGCAGGTGTGAGAAATTTATCAAAAAAAATCAGGTAATGCTGAATTGAATATTTCTATTGGTTCTCATTTTCATTTGACGAAAACAGAAAATAGTAAGTTGTGAGCAGCCTCCTGGAAGCATCGCAGCTCCTCCCCCTCTGCTCCTCTCTCGCTGAGCGTTACCTGTGCCAGGCCATGGCGTGTTACAGCACCAGGCCATCACTGACAGAGACGTTTACTTAACGAATGTTCTTAAACCAGTGTGTACTTCAAGCGTTTCCCTTTGTTTCTCTGTGTTGTGTATTTCCTGTGTATGTGGTTTTGCTTAGGCAGGAATAACTTAGCAAAGACTTAAGTATTGCACCTTTTTTTTTTGGTTTTGACCTCTTTTTTTTTTTTTCTTTTTCTCTTTGTAATGTTGCTTTTTTAATTTCTGTATTTAAAGACTTTTTTTTTTTTTTAAAGCATCAATGTAGTAGTACTCTGGGCCGAACAGGGGGCAACGTTTAATCCACAGTTACCACCAACATGTATGTGCTATGTTGAAATCAAAGTATATCAAACTGCTTGTTGTGAAGAGTGACAGCGGACCTGAGGGTACCCCTTTATACAAAACAGGTGGGGGTTGTGGGGAGGGGGACACGTGCTGGTGACAAACTAGCACTTGTGTGGACGCCCCAGTCTGCATCGTACTGTTCAACATAAAGTGCCGACATTCTGTACCAGCAGATACCTGCCCATTCCAGCCCTTGGTGGGAGCAGACCTCTACTGTCCTCTGTAACTTGCTGCTTTCAAGGGAGTCTTTCTTTCTTTCTTTAGCATCTTCAGTGAAGGACACAACAATGCCTGATGCATTTGACTTTTGGTCACGTCTGTGTAGGTGGGTGGATGGGTGTGTACAGGAAAAGGCAAAAAAGTTATTTGCATGTAAGTGGTTTTTGTGAGTCAAAGAATGGGAAATTCTGTAGTCCTGTTGGCATACTCTGTTGATGACAAACCTAGCCTCAAAAGAGATTGACAGGCATAAGTCAAGTGAGCGCTTGCATGAGCCAGTCCGCAGGAAGCCCTTTGCGGGTGGGTGTTCACACTTGAGTTTGCAGCGCTGGTTTGATCCCACAAATGCCTTGTCCAAACTGACTGTGCCCTCATCCTGCTCTCCGGTTTCCATCACCACCGTGCCCCTCTCATCTCTGCCCCGACCATGCGTCTCCTTCCAGCTCCACTGACTGCTCTCCATGTTGGAGCAGAGCCCTGTCACGTGTGGTGACCTCCAGGTGAAGCACAGCTTGTGTTCATACATCTACAAACAGAAGGCTAAATCTTAGTGTCCCTGGGCCAGGAGCTTGTCCCAAGGCTCCTGAGAGCCAGTGGGGACTATCCACTGCCGCTCTTGGTTCACGGCTGTGTCCTGCCCTGCCCTCTTCTCCTCCTGCCTGTTGGGTCCTTGACCTGCACTATGGCTTAGTTGAGTTCCTTACGATACTACGGTGAAAGCCGGGTGCTAGAGCCCCTCTTGTTTACAAGACATAAATGAGGGATTTGAAATATGTAAAAATAAACATGAGAAGCTAAAATGTTCTTCCATCATAAGCTTAAAGGGAAAAAAACTAAAAACTTAAAAAAAAAAAAGACCAAAAAGTGCGTATATATATACATATATATACATATAAATATATATTTTAGATGAAGACTAACTCTGGGAGCATTTAACAGTGTTTTTTGTTTTTGTTTTTAACATTTATTTTCCTGCTTTAAAATTTGCAAGCATTCTCAGGAATTCTAGGGTAGGAAGCCAGTTTTTTGAAGATGGTTTATTTAACCGTATCTTATCCTAGATAGATGGCTGTTTCTTTCCTGTTAATAAACTTTTACAAGTTCCTGAAACTTCAAAAAGTTTAAACAATTTTTACTTAAAAAATTGTAAAAAGAAAAGTCTCCAAACGTTATTGTCATACTGGGGATCATACATTTTAAAACATATAGAAAGAAATATTTTTTAAAAATTACCAATTTAGCAGCAACAGGTAAATTCATTATCTTAAAAAATATGGGAGAAGGATTAAGAGCACCTTCACGGACTATTTGAAATCGCGTGTAATGTAATAGGGAGTGTTTGGAGAGTGGGGATGCTGTCACCTCATTCCTTTCCCTGTAAGGCTGAACTGGAACCTCCCCGAGCCATTTTAATTTTTTCAATGGAACCCTTCTCCCTGTCCCTTCAACCCCAGCAACAAAAGAAAGAAATACAGAAAGAAACAACAGCTTTAAAAATAAAATAAGAGTAATTCTAATCTGTAAAATAGTACGGTTGGATTGCTGAGAATCTATGTAAAGAGTTAGGAAATATAGGTTAATAATTTTTGGAACAAATTTTAAACATAGGCATTACTAGAGGAAATTATATATGGACTGTTCTATTAATGAAGAATGTCTGTCTCACCTCTGTTTGTCATGGGAAGAGGAGGAGAAAATGTAGAAGAATCTAATAAGGAACAAGTGATTTTACTTTCTTAGCTCCCAGCTACTGTTGTACTTGTTTTAATTGCTGTTTTGAGGATCTGCTGCTTAATTATCTCCCTCCCTCCTAGGAGATCTGGAGTGTTTCCTTTCAGTTTTGGATGTTGAGTTCTTCTTTCATATCCTTTCTGGGGCCCGGGGTCAGCATTCCCAAGCATGACCACAGCTTCTTTCAAACGTTAAGCTTCGCAGTGGGAAGGAGATTCTGGCTCCACAGGGAAGGGAGTGGGTGGGTCGCTGCCTGCAGTGTCTCCAAAGCCGCTTTAGTGCCTTCGCTCACACACCCAGACATCCCAGGCAGGGGACACGAATGTGCCCATGGTCCAGTCCCTCCACAGCCCGTAGGATGCTTGCCCAGGAAGGTGATTAGAGTGGTCCTAAACAGGACCCAAAGGCAGTGGGCTAAATTCAACAGATGAACAGAAATCAAGGAAGCTAAACAGGCTTTTATGTTGTGATATGTGGAATGCCAAGTTCCTTCCTCGTGTGTGTGCCCTCCCTTGCCCAGCGTAGACTTCTCCAGGTGTGTAATGGTTACTGCTCCTGCGATGGGGAAAGTCTCTGTGCTGAGCCAGTGGAAGGAGGTTCCTGTTTTTCTGCTTCTTCTGCCTACCCGCCCTTTTTCACCTTGCTGAAAGCTCTGCTTTATTGGTTGGCAGTGACCTAAGAACAGGTTATGGTGAGGGTATCATTAAAGAGGAAAGCTCTTTTCTTTCCATTGTATTTTTTTGGCAAGAGCCATGTCTACCAAGAAGTTAGGTGGCTTTGGTGTACTTAGAAAATTCAGTGGGTGTGTCCTCTTTTCCAGCACATTATGGCATATATACCGAGGCCACCCTCATTTCATAGATTTTACTTTGTACACATTTTGGACATGTAAGCATGAGTTTTCCATTTTGTAGTAGGGTTTTTTTGTTGTTTTTTTTGTTTTGTTTTTGTTTTTGTTTTGTTTTTTAAACATTTGATTGCTAGAGTGGCTGGAAGTGTGTATATCTCTTAAACATCACAAACTTGGTTTCTGTCTACCACATGAGTAGCCAAAAGAAAAACAAAGTGAAATAGGGAAAGGGTTGTCTTCCATCAGACAGGGGCCTCTGCTGCCAGAGAGAATCCAGTGCCATTTTGACCCCACTTCAGGTGTTGAAAATCTCAGTTCTCTGCAACCCTGGGAAGAAATTATAATACCTCCATCTCCTTCATCCCTGTCCCTACAAGTGTTCCATTCACAACGCTCATGAGTCAGGACTTAGCAGTGCTTCAAGTGAAGATTCCAAACCATGGGTTCAGTCCCTAGCACCACACAGAAAGAAATATTCCAAACCACATTTTTTCATCAGCATTGTCCTTGTCCCCTTCCTTCCCTTTTCCACATTAGCCACTTATTGCCCAGTTAGTTTCACTTTAGCAGCTGATGTTCAGTTACTATGGCTGCTGTCCTAAGAATTTCCCCAACTCTTCTGACACGAATGTAGCCTAAGTAAGTGGTTCTTCCACACTCCTGTAGTTTGAATGTGCTATATAAGGTGTGCAAGGGAAGGAGAAAGACACAAGAAATTCCTGCCTAAGAATTTGGAAGCACCTTTATTAACATGTCTATGAGAAACTAAAAGTTCACAGACTTTTAAGAGCAAATATTCCTTTCACTTTCACCCTTTTCATGGAGGGGGTGTGGTTTTGTGAGTTAGCAGCAAGATTCCATT